AGGAGTCAATCCTCAATATCAGGAATAAAAACTGTCTCTCCTCCATATCCACCAACATCGTCAATAATGTCTTCAGATGTTTTTTTTTTTATAAAACTGTATACAATCGGCAGGAATAAATTCATAAAGCGATTGTATGTCCGCTAATTTGGCAGGGCAATTTTTTTCCTTTAGGTCAGAGTAGACTAAAATCGCATTAAGTTAATTGGAGTCGTTCTCCTATGGAGTTTTCTATGGAGAATGACTCCAAATCCCGCCCTTCTTTCTTCTCCTGTGTATATACGTTGTTATTCTTAAGAGCAGTCTCGATTTCCGGGAAGTCTGTGTCGTTGGGCAAAAATGTATGTTCGGGACTCTAAATAGCGGAAAGAGATCTGCTTCAATATTGGACGGGTGTTAAGAACACCTTTTAGGATGACAATTATTTTTCAACAGTTGCTCCAAAGAATAAAGTGTTCAGCTGTTGGACGGAATTGATCCCACCTCCTGCACACCTTTGCTTGCTTCTCCTACTATCCATACATAACAATGTCCGACATCATTAGAAGCAGAGTGGATTCCACTTATAGAACTCTAACTGTCTTTTATAATAAAAAAACATTTGTATATGAAAAACATTCAACATTCTAATCTTTGTGGAACTTTTAGTGCTTTATAGTTTTAAATATTATTAAACGATCCAAAGATGATTGGGACGTTTTATAGAAATAAGATTGTAGCACTTCGGTTTTCATAATTGACGAACTTTTGGATTGTAACGTTTACGTGTTTAATGAAGCCGTCAAAGAGATTTCAATTTCTTGTCTTACAGTAAAATTGAAACTAAAAATGAGGTGTACAAACTCTGATATAACGAAAATAATACATATTATTGAATCAAATCTTAGTTCGAATAATTAAAAATGTTATTTTACATAAATCTATCTTGCACCAAAAATCTGTTGAAGCAAAGTTGAATTTGGCGTTATCATTGTATTCATTTACCAGCTTTCAGTCTTGAAACAGTGCGCATAAAGACAACGAACAAAAGCTTGTATTGGTTAGGGCAGGGGTGGGCAGACTTTCACTAATGGCGATCTATATCAATAAATTGAGACGACAAGCGATCGACTTGCAATAAGACAATATTTTTTTATGTTAAATCGTTTATTGTAGGTATTGCGCACATATCACTATTAAATATACTTTTATTTACAATTAAAGAAGTACAGTTTCTTATTATACAAGTTAATAACTAATAACTACTAAAAATAAGTATGAAGCCAATCACATGAACTAAGAGTGTTTTTATCAGTTTTCGGGCCTCTCTGGACTGATTTACTTAGAGGTCGATGCATGGCACTGCGTATTTTCTGCTAATTTCTCATAGGAAGGCACGTATTTAGTAAGTGCCAAACGTAAACAGGAAGACAAATGTTCGTCGGTAAGTCGATTGCGGTATTTGGATTTAATTATTTTCATTTCAGAAAACGCAGATTCGCACAAATACGTCGACCCAAACAAAGCAGTTAATTGCTGTGCGATTTGTTGGAGACTTGGGTATTTTTCTTGGGTCAAAAGAGACCAAAAACTGATATCTGTTGCTTTGGCTTTTAGGTGAACATTTGAAATGATCTGTATCATCTCGTTTTCGAGAGAAGACAAATCCATGTCAAAAGTGAAGATATTTCAGAAGCAGTAATTTCAACATCCACACAAGAAAAAGGATAAATCATGAAAGTAACAACGTTCGTCAATTTTTGTAAGTCAGAAAAACGTCTTTCAAACTCGCTGAGAATATTTCCAAGTTCTGTTTCGTATTTATTATAATTTATTACGGCGCTTGTTTTTGCTTTCAAACACGCAAAATTTTTCAAGTCCTTTTTTTTCAGTTGGTTGATCAGAAGCTGCAATTTACTTTTAAATGAGTTAATTGTGCTAATCATGTCCATAATAGTTTTATCTTTCCCTTGTAGCTCCAGGTTTATAGAATTCAAATGACCAGTCACATCAGTAAGGAAAGCCAAATCACACAGCCAACTTTCACTTTTAAGAATCTCCGTGTCATCACCCCTTTGATCCAGAAAAGAAATGATTTCAGGTAGTAATTCTTGAAACCGTTCTAAGAACTTTCCCCGGCTCAGCCACCTTACGTCTGTATGGAGCAATAAATCTGTGTGCTCAGATTCGCTGGCCTCCAATTGCACTTTGAAGAGGCGTCGTTGCAAGCTTCTGGCTCGTATAGAATTTACGATCTTCATAGTGATGCTCATCACATCTGCCATGTTCAGTACTTTCGAACACAACACCTGCTGATGAATGACGCAATGAAAAGAAAAAAAAGATGGGAAGTCTTCATTAGCTCTGCACAGTGCCACAAATCCATTAGTCTTTCCAGTCATTGATGGTGCTCCATCTGTTGTTATGCACACTAGTTTATACAGAGGCAGCTCGTAGTTTTTCGCAAAACTTAGAAAAGCATCGTATATGTCTGAACCGCGAGTGGTTTCTTTCAAAGGTATGATTGTTAAGAACTCTTCTTTAGACGACGTATCTGGAAATGCCATCCGAATAAACACACGTAGCTGGGCAGTGTCAATCATATCAGTGGATTCATCAAATTGTAAAGAAAAGAATGAACATCTCATAATATCACTTTTTAGCTTTTGCTCGATATCACTGTTCATGAGCTCAACACGTCTAGTTACAGTCCGACGAGACAACTGGAGCTCTTTTATGGCAGACATGATTTCAGTTTTATTTTTAAAGTCGCCAAATAATGAATTTGCGCCTTCGAGAAATGCTTTTTTCAATACCTCGCCATCTTCAAAGGGTTTTTTGTGTTTTGCCAATATATGAGATATTTTGAAGGACGCAACTGTCGCAGCTTCCGATTGTTTACTTGGCCTGGTAAACATAGCTTGCTCGGCCTTCAAGCTACCTTTCAGATCTTGAACTTTCTGACGTCTTATTTCACTTTTGAGAGGAAAATCACTTTCGTAAATTTTATGCAAGGATTTATGATGCCTTTCTAAGTTGCCGCGTTTAGGCAAAGCTACTGAAGCTCGACAAACAAGACAAATACACTTGTCTTTCACCATGGTAAATAAGAATTCTTCTTCCCATTCATCGTTGAAATGATAAGTTTTACTTTTTTTTGGCGCACTCATTTTAAATAATAGTTACCAACTTCACTCTCTCCTTTAGTTACCCTCAGTACAAAATATATTCATGAGCAGCACGAAGTCACACGATCACGAAAGTTATTGGGAAACATAAACAAGTACAGAATCCAGAATCACGACATGACGTCTCACCGAAACCAAAATCTGTGCGAGACTGGCGAACACGTGCCGGCCGTCGGCAATTGTCAAAGCAAAGTAAATCGGGCGGCAAGCATAAAGCTAATTCGCCGCCCGCACAGGTCAAAGGACGCCGCCGCGCCGTTTAACGAGCCGACACCGGCACACGTGCACAGTACAGCCGCAAATAAATCTGGTGCCTTCTTATTTCATATCGACATTTTCGCAGTGAAAGGTTGTTTGTTGACAAGTATTTTCTTCTTAAAGTTACGCGCGTGTAAAATAAAATGTTTTTTATGAACGCACTTTAGATACTGGTATTTTGACTGGTGAAAAGACCACTGTTATTGGAATTAGCCCAACACGTCAGTACATTTTTAGGAATGCGATCGACCATAGATTCCCTTGCGATCGACCGGTCGATCGCGATCGACCGTTTGCCCACCCCTGGGTTAGGGCATTCAGTCTACAAAGGGGAAATTAATAGGCTGAAGATGATAAAAAAAGCGAGACGATATCTTCTTTTTTCGATAGGCGTTTCCGCAAAATTGCGCCTATAATGTTATAGCGTATCCAGTAACCTCGAACTTGACGTTGACTTACCGCAGTCCCAGCATAGAACTTGAAATGAAATAAAACTTTATTACCTACCATTTGAAGTAGGTTTTATTTAATCGAACCTCTAGCTTATAATATAACGTCGCTGCATTCGATGTCGCTTCGAGGCTGTTTTATAACAGATCTTTATAAAAGTTTTATTATCATGGGTTATAATAGTTCTAAATTGAGCGTCAAATTATTATTTTTAATAAATTACGCGCAAACAATTATAATAGGGATGACAACTTATTTTTGTTTGTTCGGCCGTCTATTAAATACGTATTTTTTTTTATTTTTCGTAATCAGCAAGTTATGGCGATATATTGAGTTGAAATGTCGCATGACGTCACGCTTTTGTACATTTTCTACAAAACCGTGACGTAGCGAGTCCGCAATCCTCAAATTTAATGGCAATCATCTCAGCCATTTATTGTTTAAATTGAATAAAAAGATATGTATCTAATATTTTTCGGACTAAATAGTTTTTTAGGTGAAAACCTAGTCGTCACCCCTATTATTAAATTTACATCCTTAAGAAAAGTAGTTGAATTTTGGAGGCAACTTTCTAATTTATTAAACTTCCATGATATTTGTGTTATAGAAAATTAATTAAGAAGTTAGTTTAGTACCAATGTAATTGAATCCTGTTTCAGGAACCAGATATATTTATATTTAAGCTGTTGAATTCAAGAAATTTGTTTTATCGGATAATTAATGTCCTTAGAAATATGACGCATCAGTTCTCTTATTTATGTAGACATTATTCTAAATAATTTGATTGACTGATTGATTGAATACAATAAATTTGAAAATCTTAATCAATTTTCGCCCCGTCATGGGTTAGAGTCCCATCTCAGAGTGCCAGGGATAAAGTGGATTTTTTTTAACATTTATCATTAAGAACATTTTTCAATATAGGACTGTGAATGAAAAATTTAACAAATATTATAATCAATTTGAAATTAAAGATTTTGGAGATAAGGGTCCACATAAAGACAAGTCACAAAGTTAACTAGGTATCGGATGTCAGGATAAAATGGTTTTTATAGAATATTAAAAACAAGTCACACTACTACCACACCACCGTCATCTCATCTACATTTCGAAACCAGTTCCACTAGTCAGAAGCTTGTATTTGTCAAACGCCACAGTTCTGCTTGATACAAAAGTAAGGTGTATTGGAAGGTGGGGAATATTCGGAATAAAAGTTTAGCCGTGGCTGCAGCTTGGATTATATTATTGTTTGGTGCCGATGTCTCGTCGATCACAGGGTAAACGGTCATGGGATGTGCGCGCGTCAGTGTTAGCTCGCAACACCCATAACTTGATAAGGAGCATTGTTGAAAACCTCCAAGTGGAACCGAATCCTAATAAACCTTTAATAGCACTTTCTGTCGGTAAGTTCTATCTCATTTTTTCTTATTTCTTTTACTTTTTTCATACTTTATGCTTTACTATTATTCATTAGATATTACATCATATCTACATATTTTTATCTCAATAGGAGATGTTTATATATTGGATATATTGTTTCACTATTAATCTACATTGTTATTTATTATATACATGAGTTTATTAAGCCTTTAAAAAAGCTAAAAGTTTATGAACTTACAAAATATTCAATTTCAAAAATATTAGAATCCCGGAAGAAAGTTCAATTTTTCAATTGTTTTGATATCATAGTTTGGCCTTTGCTTACTTTATTGTATTACGCAACAAAACGTAATTTTTCAAGGTAAATATGAAAGTGTTCGTATCATTTTCTTTGAAATTATTTAAATTTCTATTTATTTAGACTGGGGCAAACCCGGGCACCTGTTCCGGGTGGCAGTTTTGATTTTATTTCAACTATTTATCTTAAAAGCTGAAAATCGGGTCCGCGCCATTAATTAAATTCTACCTAGGTTTAAAAAGATCCGGGTCTGGGAAACACCATGTTCCTTATTCATAGGCATTGTTTATATACGTTGATACCGTACCAAATGGTATTCCACTTATTTTTATATTATTAATTATTTTAAACCAGCAAATTGTTTTATTATCTAATTAGCAAAAAATTCGAGGTCAACACGTTTTTGTCGTAATATTGGCATTTAAATGAACCAGTAAAAAAACAATTAAAATAAAATTAAACAGACTTTAATAAATCGTAATAAAGAGAAACGACTGAAAAGAAAGAAATAATACCATAAATCTTCAATAAAATCAAAACATAAAAAGTGGATACACCAACAATTTTTTGAGGTCGGTGCCAGATTTTTACAAGAAAAATATCTTGTATGATATGAGAAAAATAGATTTCCTAATAGTGCTGTTTCACTTCTTACTAATATTGTGTCATATTCAAACAAAATTACAGACATGTAGGTCAACTTTAGTACCAATTTCTTTTAAGGTCGATTATAAACGTACAGGTCAAATGGAGAACTTTTTTATGTCGGTTAATGACGTTCTTACTTAGGTAAACGGACAGCTCCTTTATTTGAAGTTGGTTAAAAAGAATGTCATCAATGTTAACTCCTTTATAGGAGGTCAATTTTTTATTACTTTTATAAGTAGCTTTAATAGGTTATATCTTCAAAACTACCGCACCGATTTTTATGAAACTTGTAGTCTACCCTAAATTGAACGCTAAGCAATCAAATAAAAAAAAAAGAATGATTGCAATCCGACGTTTAGTTTGCGAGATATTCGTGGACACACATACATACATCTATAAAATTTCGCGCACGTGTTTAGAAGCCTATAGAACCAACAAAATTGATAACCTTCTTTTTTAACTCGGTTAAAAACGGACGCCTAAGCTACAGATCCGTTTTTATTAATCATATATCATATTATAGGTGATCCAACGGTATTTGGAAATTTGAATCCTCCTGAGCAAGTACTGCAAGCAGTCCGAGATAGCATAGAGTGGTCTTCTAGTCGAGGTTATGGCTCGATGGTTGGTCACCAAGAAGCGAGACAGGCAGTTGCAAAGTACAGTGCTCATCAGGGTTCAGTTACAGGTGACGATGTGATACTATGCAGTGGATGCTCCCATGCTATAGAGTTGGCTGTAACAGTTCTAGCAGACTCTGGACAAAATATTTTAGTACCTCGACCAGGTTTCATGATATACAAGACTGTAGCTGAAGGTTTAGGAATCGAGATCAAACATTACGATTTATTGGTAAGATCTTAATACTAAAGAAGATGATATCTTACAAAACCTCATTGTTTTTTTCTATCTAGTTACTTTAAAAATCTAAATAGAATGGTCGAAAGCATTTTTTTATAATTCGGTTTGGCGTTTGTATGATGTCAGGTATGGCCGATATCAATAAATGGGTTATAAGGCGATGCTGTACAGGTTTCTAGATTAAAACGAGTTTCAACTTATTGTGTATTAAATTTGCATACCTACTGCTTATATACGCATTTGATTCTTAATAACTGCGTAGGTAAATCCTTGCTAAAATTGATAAACTTATCTGTTTTTTTTCTCTTATGTTAATAATATTATTTTTATAGCCAAATCAACAATGGAAAGTAGATTTAGAAGATTTAGAGAATCAAATAGATAAAGAAACAGCAGCGATCGTTGTCATCAATCCATCTAATCCATGCGGATCTGTTTACACGCGAGAGCATTTGACAGAAATTCTCGAAGTAGCGTCTCGGAATTGTGTACCAATTATTGCCGACGAGATATACGAGCACTTCGTTTTCGCCGGCCATGAATTCACAGCTATGTCGGCTATATCGAAAGACGTCCCCGTGCTCACATGCGGTGGATTGACTAAACGTTTCTTAGTACCCGGTTGGAGAATGGGATGGTTGATAATACATGATAGACAGAATATATTGGGAAGAGAAGTGCGTAAGGGATTATTTAATTTAGCAAGTAAAATTCTTGGTCCCAGCACTCTGATACAAAGAGCTTTACCAACGATTCTTGAATCGACACCGCAAAGTTTCTTTGATGAAGTCGTTCTGTTTATAGAGGTGAGTGGAAGTTTCCAGACAGCGATCGAACCTATTAATGCAGTTATCCTAACCGGTATTGAGAAATTTACATGTAGTGTAGATAGTTGAGCTTCCAAACGTAGTTTTTTAAATTAACTTTTGTGAAATTAAATCTTTTCGTATTCTGTATAATAATATTTTAGGAGCAAATGTTTAACGTTAGATATAACCAAGTGGATAATTAATACACGTTGAACAAAAGAAAATAAAAAGAAACATACGTCTATTAATACTCGATTTGACTATGAAGTATTAAACTAGTTTTCATGCTTGTGAATTCAAAATTATGATATAAATATTATTGATTTTTGGAAAAAGCCTTACCTACGCCTTCACCAGGCAGCTCTAGCTCTACAATTTCATTAAAATCGATCCAATGGTCGATAGCGCAACAGACAAATAAGCAGAGCTATTTTCCTATTTATAAAATAAGTATGTCTGGATTTCATTTTTTTTTATATGTAGACATTAATGAAAAATTATTAAAAATCCACTTTGTCACAGGCACTTTGAGATGGGATTCGAAACTATGACCTTATCACTGAGCTGCCCAAGACCTAACAATACCCATGATTTTTTTAAACAATTGTTACTTTCTCGCTACAACAGAACGTATTTTTATCAATGTTCAGGCAATCCACCCAAACAATCGAAAGAAATATTTTACAAATATATAAACTAATTTGTTCTAATTATTATATTAGATCAATTTTCCATTCACAATGCTATACTGGAAAATATTTTTAATGAAATATGCTTAAAAAATCAATTTTTCCCTGGCACTCTGAGATGGGACACGAACTTTCGCAATCCGGATGACTACTCTAACCACTGACCTACCCAGGACCTAACGGGATTGACGAATTTTTCAATCACTTATTACTTTTTCGCTACTATAGAGGCTTTACCTGAACATTGATGAAAAAACGGTCTGTTTTTTCTCTTTGCATTACATTATCAAATGTATTTTTTCTTGTAAAAAGCATTATCTTTTTTTATAATTAAATATTACACAACATCGCATACACAGTTCCGATGCCAAATTAAGTAGCTAAAGAATTTGAATCATGGAAATCACGGAAATGATGAGGGACGCGGGATCTTCGAGATATCTTGAAACCAGTGCGCGTGCTTCTCGGCCACGGTGGTCGTAAATATAAGTATCTATTAAAATAAAATACTTTTTTAGAATCAAGCCAAACTGGCGTTTGAAGAACTACAGCGGGTTCCTGGGTTGAAGCCGATCATGCCACAAGGAGCCATGTATATGATGATTGAAATCAAGATGTCACAGTTTCCAGAGTTCAAAAGCGAACTTCAATTTGTCGAACGAATGGTCGCCGAACAGTCTGTGTTTTGTCTGCCTGGAGAGGTAAGATAATTGATCAACTTTACATAAATTTATATCTTTGCTTTTGAAAGTTCAAATAGATTTGAACCTAATTGTACATACTATATTTATTACTTAGGAAGCACTGTCGTTGGCTTAGTGCCTAGTGTAACTTACAAAGTGTTTTATAATTAAATGGTTTCTAAATTGAGAAAAGTATATAATCTCAAGTGATGATTCTGCAATTATGCAATAAGTCCAAGTTTTTAATCTATTTTGACGCGGTTTTCAGAAAAGTATTTTTAGTGTTACCTTTTATATAAAAAGAATAAATATCACTAAACAGCAGGAAATAAAGTCTTTTGAAGTCGGACGCCTATCATTTAATTAATAACTCACAGAAAACTTCCACTTGACTTTGATAGCATTTTCTTGAATAAGTTGCTTTTGAGATAAGTATTATTTTTCACTCTTTTTAAGTTTGAAGTCGGTTCTATTTTTTTTTAATTTTTTATCAAACTGCTATCAAGTGATTATTAAATAAACTAAAATTGGAAACGAAAACTTGTTTAAGTGACGTTTCAGTACAGTTTGAGTCGTGCTTAAGTTTAAATATTCAATTCAGAAATCGGGTGTTAGTTTTGACAACCTCTGTTTGAGTTTTGAAGTCCTACAGTTTGAGTCGTGCTTAAGTTTAAATATTCAATTCAGAAATCGGGTGTTAGTTTTGACAACCTCTGTGATCTTTTTTCTGAGATCTCTGATTCGTTTCTAGCGTTGTTGTAAATAAAAACGAACTTTTCTTCATAGTCTCAAGCATCCAAATCACCCAAAGATGCACTAACTTAACTGGTTTAAAAAAGTTACTTGGAATCTGAGCAACGTATGTATCGTTGCCTTGGATTAAGTTTTGCCTCTAAAAGGCATTGTCAAATCCGCTCGAGCACCAACGATTAATTAATCTGTAGTAACCTTCACTAAATATTATGTTTAATAAAATACTTTTGGATTATAATTACTTTTATTTTTATTTGTAACATTACAACAACTACGAATTTAATCACATTGCAAGTACCGTTTTCAATTAATTGACGTTTACTTTTTTTGATTGTTTTTAAGGCGTCAATACTTCGTCCACAAACCGACAATTGTACATAATCAAAATTATTTTTGCAGTGTTTCTGCTATCCAAATTACATGCGCATCGTTTTAACAGTACCCGAAGATATATTGAGGGAAGCCTGTCAGAGAATAGCTGTATTTTGTCAAGATCACATTGCGTCTAGAGAAAATATAAATAAAATTGGCAGCAATGAAGTTGCTCTTGCAAATGAAGCCTGTGAAACGATCAATGTGTAGACTATATAGTTGAATATATTTGAATAACACCTCTTAATTTTTGTTTGTGTGACGGGATAGATGTTTACTGGTGTTTACATATGACGAACGATAACCATTACTCGAAAGGTGAGCCTGCTCTGAACACAAAGCCATTTCTAAACGCTCAATTTAACTGTGGTAATTTTCGGAGTTAAAGTATGATAATAGTGTTGAGAAATTTATTACTACACTATACTTTATGTTAATAAATGATTTTTTATGTTTTGATTTTTTTTTGTAATACCTCCTTACCTTTATTTTAATAAAATAATATTGTGTATACCATTTTTTTTGTAATATAGAACTCTCTGTAAATGGAGAATGATAGAAATAATTTATAAAAAAAATAAACCGTCTTTTAAAAGATTATAATAAAGAAAAACACGATTTAGAGAAAGATTACAGAATCTTTCTCTAAATCATTACAGAAGCTTAAATAAAATTTTGCACAAAAAGTTGATATAGCAACAGTTTTTTGAGCTCGTTGTAAGCCGCGTCATTTTGAAGTAAAACAGCACTATCAGAAAATGTGATATGTGATGTCGAAATCTATTCTTCAATTACAAGTGTTTTTTTTAATCTGGCACTGACCATATAAAATAAAAATGTTTGTTGAAGTTATTTAAATTTGAAAATAATAAAATATTTTTCTTTAACAAACTTCAATTCATATAATTGAATTTTGATTGAACGATGCCAACTTGTAAGACTTTGATTTAAATAAAGAGAGAAAGGGACGGTATAATAATACTTACACTTTATTTTTTAAAAACGAAGTTTTTATTTATTGATGCAAAAGTTTAATATAAAACGTTATTTTTTAATAAGGAAACAACAAAAAGTATGTATTTTTTGTTGTTTCCTTATTAAAAAACACAAAATATATTTTTAATAAGGAAATTTAACAAAAAATATACAACCTACAAATGCTTTTTTGCTTTCCGACCATTAACTTATCATCTAGGTCAGTCTTTCCCAAAGAGAGCGATAACGCCCTCTTGTAACCAATAAAAAAAGGGGGCGTTATGTAGAGGGTTGGGGGATGGGTGATTTGTAATTTCATTTTGCTAGGATACCTTAAGAGGTAGACACCGACCGAATATTAATTAGTTAAGAGATTGCTCAATTCTCTAATTCTCTCTCGATTCGATAATTCTCTCCGCGGAAGTCATATACCTATCTATCCTGTCTTATTAAATATATAAAATAAAAACCACGTCAATCGGTCACTTCGTTTCGAAATGAAAGTAGACACAAACTAACAAATAAAAAGGCAACAGACACTTTTGCATTTTGTATCAATCGGCTGCAGCCGTATCTTCTTCTTGGTCTGTGCTGCAACCGCAAGTAATAGATGAAAGTTCATCTATTACTTGTTTCTTACTTGTTGAGTACGATTAAGCGTCGAATGATATAAACGAGTTTATGCATGTTTGTTTTATCCCTGTCGGTGCGTGCTGCTTATGCAATCACTACATAGTATAAAACAAAGTCGATTTCTCTGTCCCTATGTATGCTTAAATCTTTAAAACTACGCAACGGATTTTGATGCGGTTTTTTTATACATAGGGTGATTCAAAAGGAAGGTTTTTATGTATAATACAAGACCACGCGGGCGAAGCCGCTGGCGGAAAGCTACTCCTATATAAACAACGTAATATTTATTTTAATTTTGTACTAAGAAAGAGATTGCTTGAAAAATATTATATCAGTTGCTACGGATTTTAACCGTTTGTTGTTTCACACTGAAGTTCGTTGGCCATCAAGAGGCAATTGTCTGATTTGATTTTACAATCTGTTTAACTCTGTCAATCACAGAGTTCTTGGAAACTAAAGATACAAAATTGTGCAACAAACTCATTACATCAAAGAATGATGTAGCTTACATGACAAACCAGTGTAAATTGTTCGACTACATGAATGCCCAACTGCAAGGCGATGAACTAGATTTAATTAAAACAAGAGACATCGTTGCTGCTTTCGCAGCCAAACTGCTTCTACACAAAAAGAATATGAGCAGATGTGAGTTTAACAATTTTCCGAATTTATCAAAATCGTGCATAACTCTTGTGAGTTAAAGTCTCGTTTAAAATTAATGTTTAATCTCCTTTAACATAGCTTACAATAATGATTCAGATTCAGAAACCCGAACGTGCGACTTTCATCCAAAGTGCAAAGTGTACAAGGACATTAACATGTTTGTTTTCAGTTCGATAGAAATCCTGGTATTCGTTTCGAATATTCGCCGTTAATTCGTGTCTTCGGAACGGAAAAAATAGAATGACGTCATTCCCAACGGGACGCTTGTGTTGGGTTTTTAAGGCTTTGCGTATGACCGGAATTACAATAAATCAGTGAGCCGCCAGAATAATGCCGCAATAGTGAAAATTATAAATGCGTTTGATGTTGTGCATTTCAAATGCATGGACATGGTCAGAAAAATGAATGTATATCTATGAAAAACTGTCCAGGCGTCTATTACATACGACTTCAAGGTAACTGAGGTCCCAGGTGCGATTCCCGGTCGGATTAATGTAGAAAATATGTTTCTGTTGTTGTTAATATTTATCTAATAATAGAGAAGTAAATGATTCAATCAAATCACAGTATTACATAACGTGTTAAAAAAACGTGTGCTTATACCTCACAGTAAATACTTTACTACCTTTCGATATTTTGTAAAAACATATCGATACATCGAGTATAGCATAGTCGCACGTGTAGAGTGCTACACACCACCACCGTAAGAAGCAGATCTCTGTTAGTAGTCTGTGGTTAGTAGGGAAGTTCTGTACGAAGCGAGTTTAGTATAAAGTCCACAATGTATATTTGACGTGCAGCCGTGTTTTAGATACAATGGACAATGATAACTTTTTATTATAATGTTTCGAATTATCGATTCAATGTCTATCGAATATGCCACCCGCGAATACCCGAATACCCATGTAGAGATGTGCTAACTCGTAATAAACATTACTCAAGTTAGTTTCGAAGACTCGAGTTAAGTGGATGAACTGAGTGAATGATTTAGCTTCGTAACAATAAATTAAAAAACTGACCAAGCGCGCATCCGATTCACGCATGAAGGGTTCCGCCCACCAATATCCATTAAAAAAAAGTAAAAAATATCACGTTTTTTGTTTTATAGGAGTTGTTCGAAATTTTCGCGTTTAATACAATTAGTTGACTTTACTCATAAACTTGTAAAGCCAACTTTAGCGTGATAGTTTTCCTTTTAATTTCGTCATATATAAGTTTTACTGCCGTAACGTTTGAATTTAACAATCGTTTAATTAGCATAAGGGGGACACTTGATTCTAACGAAAATTTGCTCTTTAAAGTCACAAGCGTCGGCGTAATTAATGTGTATAGGTATGTATGCCAAATTACAACTTTATAGTACCAATAGTTTTTGAGCCAAACTGTGGACAAACGGACATTGTGAAACTATAAGAGCTCCTTGTTTACTACGGTCGATAAAAGTTGAAGTACATTAATTAACAACAAAACTAGTTATGTAGCAGTTTTTAGAGAATAAAATTAATCTAACATAACCATAGAAGGTATTTATTTTTCTATGCACAAAATTCAGAAATCAATTATAATCTTAAGACGGACCTTTTCAATCGCTCCAAACAAAGATTTCTTTATATTTTCATTTTATACCTGCAATATTGTGACATTTGTAACCAATAAAAATAGTTATGATATCATCGTCATTCTTTCATTCATTTTACATGTAGATTATTCACTTGACATTGGCAGAATTGTGCGAAATGCGCAGATAAGCCATTAATAAAAGAAGAAGAAGTAGTCATAAATGATCTGCAAACTTCGTGCCTTATCTCTGTCATTCGTTTTATGTACTATAGCAGACGGGATAGGAGTAATTAAATCGAATCGGAGAATTCAACTCGAGCCATGTCTACCGAACTCGAATCAACACATCGCTATCGTACTCTATTTTTTTACAAATTAAAAATCGTCCATCCATCACAAGTACTTGTGATTGTTTGGTTACAAAATAATTTGCTGAAGTTATTTTGGTAAAGATTATTCAGAAGTTTGTGCTTAAACTCCTATAAAAATGTCTCAGTTAAAAACGAATAAAAAATTTAAGTGGGCATTAGATTATAACCAGAAGTAAGTTATTGATCTTACACTGGTCTACGTCTACGTTATTTTTGTGTATTTATTAATTCTACGAAGTATACTTTACATTTCAGAAATAAGGCATCAATTGATTTACCTGCCCCACCGGGTTACAGTCAATCTGCAAATGCAAACTATACTGAGACATCAAAGGATAGTGATTCCAATTTACTTTTAATCAAGAAACTATGGGATGTTGCTTTGGGACCTCTCAAACAAGTGCCGATGAACTTGTTTATAATGTATATGGCAGGAAACTCAATTTCTATTTTCCCCATAATGATGGTTGGAATGTTAATTGTTCGACCTGTGAAAGCACTGTTTTCAACACAAAGTACATTTAAAATGGTGGAAGGCTCACAGGCCATTGGTCAAAAGTTTGTATATGTCATCGGGAATATAGTAAATATACTGCTGGCTCTTTACAAATGCCAAAGCATGGGTTTATTACCTACACATTCTAGTGATTGGTTAGCATTTGAAGAACCATTGACACGAGTTGAGCATATTGGTGGTGGTCTGTCATTGCTATAATCTAGAGGGAACGAAAACATCATTATTTATATTGTTAATTTATTATGATTACTATTGTGAACTATTATTACACAGTATGTACAGTGACAAATAATGGAATCTTTAATTTCATCAATCCTGGAGCTATTTAGCAGTCTTTGCCACCTTTTTTGCCATCTTTATCACTAATTTCTCCAAATTTAGCTTTGATAAAAGCTTGTGCCTTTTCAAATAGTACCTTTGGATCTTCTACTTTTTCTATCTGTAAAATTAAGAAGTAAATTAAATTTTGATTATGAAAGTTTGGTATAGTCCACATTACTATAAAGACATTAGGTACCCTGTAGTTGTTGGATGCCTAATAGACAGTAATATTAATATTATTATATAATAATATTCCTGGTTCATTTTACAAAAAAAAAACAGAACTAACCATTTTTCACTATCCAAAGTATTGTCACATTCCTGAGGGGATTTCTTACAAAGAAGTTGTACAGCATCCTGAATGGGAAAAAAAATAAACATAAAAAAAATCTTATCAAAGGCAGAAATGTGACATACACAAAAGAGGCCATTTAAACAATGAACCAGGAATACTTTGAAAATATAGATTCAAATAATCCAGAAAAACATTAGTAAAAACAAATGGTGACCATATAACTTATGCAGGTATGGCCTCCTTTGTGAAATTTTGTATAAAATATCAATGATCTAACCTGATAATTTTGAGCTATATAAACTCCAGTATATATTCCAGTACCAAATATTATCTGAAAGTGTGATAAAATATATTTTTTAAGCATTAACTTCAAAATTTTAATGAAAAGTTTGGAATTTTCTAATCTTCAGTTTTGTGAAATGTAATGAAGATATGCAGTCAGACAGTACTAAATATTTATTATTAACGCTATCACCCTCCAGTAGAAAAAAAATACTTATAAGGAATTGTAAAGGTAAATATAATCCTATTACCTATACATCATATTTCTATAATGAGAAATTTATGACATTATATTCAATTACTTCAATCATGGTTTCTATCACAAGTTCTTTTATGTTAGCATATGAATAATATGCTACCTAGATTGATTCAACCTTAATAATAGGTTATTTTTAAGAATTGTTAAGACTATATATCAAATAGTAAGGAATTTGACATAATTATTTATTATTAATGATATAAACTTACAGAGTTTTTTGCCAATGAAAAGAAATAACCCATTATTTCTTTTCTATGTTATATGCAGGCAAATATATTAGTCTGGCATTTTTTATTGGAGATTATTTAATTTTTATTCCTAACAAATATATTTATCAAATTTAGATATTGACAGTTGTCTTGTCAATTGACTTTCTAAATTTGAAATAAATGAAGTTTTAAATTTATTTCAACCAACCTATCCTGCAAGAGAAGGGTACAATTATAAGGAAATAGATAGTGATTTTTTTTCTAGGAAGATTTGGATTACATATTATTTTAGGGAAAAACTTTTGTAAATATTTACTAGCGTGATTTTTAATATGTTTGTAAATATGTTATTTTCATGATAAATTTAAATATATCTAGTATTGCAATAAAAAATATGCGAATGAAGAGCGTGTAATAATTATTGTGTAATATTCATGTGCTGTACATACCAATTCTTTTATCATTTTTGCTAATTTTAATTAAATAAATAGGTCGTCAAAGGAATATCAATCTTAGGGCTGAGCTGACCTTGGAGAAATTAATAATTTTAGTTTGAAAAATCTACATGACAAATAAATTTATAAAATTTTGACATTTAGTGCTGCAACGACCGATACTTATCTGACACGATTGTCTACCAAATCGATAGTCGATTTGAATGACTATCGTAACAGGATCGTCGATAGTGTAATTAAGCTTATAACAATTTAGATACAATATTTAATATTTCATCTTAAAATAATTCTTTCATTCATTTCAGTTTAATTTACATATAGAAATTAATTTATTCACTTGACATTGACCGAATTTTGCGAATGCGCAGAAAAGCCATTAATGAAAGAAGAAGAATAACATAATTTAACATTTTAAGTCATCCATATCCATACACACACACACACACACACACACACTTAAAAAAAAACCTGTATTTTCCACAGTTGGGAAAAGCATCTCCGTGACAGAGGACGTTGCCAAAGATGTCACGAACTAGGATATATTCTCTTTGAGATTCGTTGCATTGTTGCAATTGGTTAGCGCACGGTACTTATAAGACAGATACGCATGTCCGGTGTGTGGCAAACTTTGCCAAATGGTGGATTAAATAAATAAATAAATATATATATATATAAATGGAAAATAAAATGCTCGTGAACTGTTTATGGCAAGAAAATTAAAGTAATTAAATAAGTTGAGGTTAATATTTGTAACTAACACAAAACTTTGGCTAAGTTTTTTCGGCTGTGCCACGGATGAAACTACTACTAATCACCAAAAAAAGTTGGCGTCTAGTTTAAAAATCAATTTCTTGCATTTTTACCATCACAAAGCAGAGACATTGTATTTTTGACAATACCTGCAACGCCCTTCTATTTGGGAAATGACCTAAGTTATCGTATTTTACAAATCGAAGTCGAAGTTAAATCGTATCGATTCATAGCTAGAACACATGGGATTAAGCGGTGAATGCTGACCGAGACGAGTTCTACGGAGTGGTAATGTAAATGTTTTTCTGTTTTGTATTCAACTTCCAATCCTCGGAACTGTAAACTTTATTTTTTTCCAAAATATCAGGGGAGTTAATACAACCGTTCAATAAATTAAATAAAAACATAATATCCAATATTTTTCTGCGGTTGTGAAGCTTAGTCATTTTATAATAGGTTAGACGAGATTCGTAAGTTGCAATTTGACGACATTTATAGTCAGAGAATGCCAGATGATACAAGAAACGCCTCTGCACTTGTTCTAATCTATTGGAATAAACTTGGTAACCTGGATTCCATACTGAACAGCAACACTCTAAAATACTTCGCACTATAGAGTTAAAAATAATAATTGTGAGATTTGGCTCGCGCAAAATCTTCATTTGTCGAGTGATAGAATCAGATAGCATGGATGTTTTTTAATTACGGCATCGATATGAAATTTGAAATTAAGAGAGCTATCCATAATCACTCCCAGGTCGCCAATATATGATACTTCCGTCAAGGTATATTCTGTGTGTAATAAACAACTTTCAGTGAGCGCAACTTTATATCTATATCACGCTGGTTTCTTATAGTGCGATACAATTTTAAATCATCAGCGTACATTTTAAATTTTGATTCAATATAATTTGAGATATCGTTAATAAAAACAATAAAAAATAGCGGTCCCAAATGAGATCGTTGTCCAGAAGGGACATCCCTACTTATTGTGTTATTTGTCTCCGTATAAGGAAGCCAGTTGGGAACAATTTCTTAGGTAAGATTCGCACCACCTCAAAAGCGATCCATGTATATCAACCCCTTCCAACTTCGCAATCAATAAGTCATGATTTACAAGATCAAACGCTTTTCGGAAATCTGTGTATATGGCATGAACTTCATCTTGTCTGTCCAAAGCTTCGTAAATATCATTGACATAGGCAACTAAGTTGAAGGTAGTGGATTTTTGAGGCAGAAAGCCGTCGTCCTGTTGTGTTCGTCAGCATTCAAAAGACTTTTGACATGATTATATATGTACTTCTGAACAAATGCTTCAAGAACCTTACCTGCAGTCGATAGTATTGAAATAGGTCTATAATTACAAACGTCGCTTGGATCATCATGTTTATGAATTGGCCTTACATGAGCAGTTTTCCAATACTCCTGACTCAAGAGACGTATTGTAATGTGAATAATAAATAAAGGCTTGCATAAATATTTAGCACAACGTTTATAGAATAATGGCGGTAGCAAATCAGGACCGGGCCTTTTGCTATAGTCTAGTTTCGAAAGGGAATTGAAAATCTTCTTCTCGGTGATAAAAACGTTGATAAAATAGTTCACAAATTTGAAGTTCACATATTTTTATTACCCTCATTCTTCTTCATAAGCACTTATTACCAAATATTCAACAGCTGCGCAAAAATACACAAACACTGTCTTCTGGATTTAAACGGTGTTTTGTATACAGTTACCAACATATCCGCCAAATCCACGCTACCAATATGTTTATTGTACTGGCCCACAATTTGCGGACACTATACTTCAAATATTATAAAATTTGTTGCACAGGCTTACTCGCAACATATAGAAGAAAGAAGCGATAGAGAGAGAGAGATGTTTTTACTAAATATTATCACACATATTTAGTTTAATACAAATTGTAACAATAATGAACTTTAAGTAGTAAAATATTGAGAAAATAATAAATTTACTTTGTCGAAAACAGATGACCCCTTCCTCGTGTGACATTTTGTTCACGTTTGACAGATATGACTTTTTTAGTAAAAGTAGACTTTTACTTTTATCGACTTTGAAGTTTATAAAAAATTGATCTTGAAGAATAAAATAAAAAAAATCCTGTCAATGCCTACAGGCTTGCTTTTGTTTCCGCCCCACCGAACAAAATCAAACTATTAGTAAGCTTAAACATAATCGAGCACGCGTAGTATGCATGACAAACTCGATAACGTTTTATCTACACCCAAAAGTCATCTTTTTCGCGTGCGTACTCAGATGAAATATCAACTAAATTCTTACATTCTATGAATTCTTATACTTAATCTATGGGTGCACTCATACGATTCAGATCTCACTGTCAGCCGAGATAGTGTGATATATCTCTCTTTGGTGACATTTAGACATGGACGTAGTATCTATTAACAGGACCGAGGGATATCATGTACAGAAAAGGCTATTTGCCCCTTTCTAATAGGGCGACAATAACATTTTCATTTAGTGAGACTTTTCATGAAGCCAACTCTGTGGTTGGCATAAATAGATGAAAAACAAAAAAGTCTCTTACTAACCTAAGTTCTTAAAATATACAGATGATGGTACCTGTATATTCCACCATAGGATGGAATGACATTTGTTCAGATGCAGTTAAGCTAACCCACCCTTGCGAAAGTTGCTTTACAATAACGATCGCGGGCCGCGGCATTTATTCTCTAC